GACAATTTAATTTGAGTTCTAATTGAGATATGGTTCTTCATATATAACCATGTATATGTGCTTATCCTCATCCTCTCATACGCATATCATATGATATATGTGCGTGTTTGCGAGTTGCAACAATCAAGGCATACATAAGACTCGTTTGCATATAAATTAACTTCCGTTTCACAGTTCCAACAATATAACTATGGAAGTTTTGGTATGATTTCGATCTTGATTGTGAAGCAAAATCACTATCCCCAGCAATGGCAAGACCGTGCTTTCGATATCTATTGCCTTTTGTGAATTTAAAACCTAGTCATACTAATCAGTGTAAACTGCACAAAACTATGTTCTAAATACTCACAGTGAATAAAAACTGTAAATTTCTCATTAAAATGTGATCTTTTCAAATTAAATAATGTCTCCAAGATGTTAAGTAATTTGGAGACACATTGCTAATGTTTCTATTAGTATGGCTCAGGCACGTACTGCGCCAATAACCAAGTAAAGTGATCAAATGACTTTAATTTTTGCTATCTAAGAGGGTGAATCGTAGTCAGGATTAAGGTTCACATGACATGGTTGATGTGAGTACTGAGTATAGGTGGCGGATGCAGTTCGAGAAAATCTTTCCTTCGGTATAGCTACCTACGCATAGTGTTACCTTTCCTGTGTCATATACTGTCAGGATTTATCTCCAATGTTCTCAATTCCTGTATCTTTTAATACCATTTCTCACACGTCTGTAAACCTAGTTCAAGCTGGAATTGGAGAGTCCTTTCAAGAGAAAATATTTTTATGGCACAGCATACCAATGGTAGATGGTAGATGCAATTTTCTTAGAAACTAAGAGCCATATACCAATGTACAACATGAACAAAACAGAAAATGTTCATAATTGAAAAAGAAAATTTGAATTGATAGATCAGTTGGAAGCACTTAACTTTAATGTGAAATTTCCATTTGATCTGCATACGAAAAGAAACACAAATACGATCCGATCAAAAGGATGAAAGCAAGAGCCAAAACAGAGAAAGCAGAGTCTCTTGGTTGTAGCAAAGGATACATGAAGTGATATACACAACATCAAAAAGATATTTTCTCTAATTGCAATTCAACATTTGATGTTGTTTCATCATGTCTTAACCAGCCTCACAAAGCCCCAAACCAGAGCCACTACCCAAATGCTTGTACTCCTTAGCCTCCTTTCTTTTAAGGCAACCAAGTTCCAGTCCTTACAAGATTTATCACACACAAGACAAACTTTGTCGATAAGCATAAACTTTTCACCACACTTCTTGCAGAAAACATGAGGTAAGTGCCACAAGGGACATTGTATTGGTGGCATAAGCCTTAAACAAGACTTAGTCCTCAAAAATCCATAAGATTTTCACTCTAATAATCATCCAATTCACATCAGATTCAAAGGCCACAGAACCATGAAAAGAGTAAGTTG